GGACGTACTTCGCAGCACAACTAAAAGATGAAAGAATTACCCGTCATATGCAAAAGAAATATCCGTACTAGTAGATTCCAGGTCATGAAATTTAGGCTGCCCACCAATACCATAGAGAGGATCATCTGGAAAAAAATCATGCAGTGTCCTAACTTTGGAATCTATTTAATGAAAATAGGATCTGCCATGACCTTTATTTAGATTTTTTTAATGATATGCAAAAACACTTTTAGCTAAGCCTGGAAGGAAGAGCTCAAGTAAAATCGTGCCCATCACAATAACAAGAGTGTTTTGGCTTACCAACAAGAGGGTGTCCAATGTATGCAAGGTGTATTCGGATTTGGTGAGGCCGTCCTGAATGAATTTCAACCTGCACCAGTCAAGGAAAAGAAACAGTGACATATATAAGAAATCATAATCTAAGCCTTATACACATCGGTAATTTGAGGGAACGATGTCATGTGCATACATAAATGAATATGTAAAAGCAGGACACAGAACCCATCATACCTGGACCAGCGTTTGATTTTGATGCACAAGTCTCTCAAGAACACACACTTTGCTCATGGCTGGCTTTCCTGAGAATTAATAATGAAAGATAAAAAAACATAAGGCCATGTCCGATGCAGCGCTAACAGCAGGCACTAATCACGGTCATTTTGCCAGTTTCGGCCTTATTCCTTGTATCAGCGTTGGCATCGCTTCTGGAACTGGAGACAGACACTCCGAGCTATTCATGCAGGCGGAATTTCGCCAGGCAACAGCACTACACTGTGATCTCCATTTGATTTGTTAGCTTGTTTGTTACAATCTCGACTGTATTCATCTAGCGGGACACAGGTACTATACCGGTACTCCTTGGCATATTAGATGTGTGCGCTACATGTCTGCCTTAATAAATGCCATCTCCTGCATGCAGCTTTAACTAGCAACATTTGTCTTTTCTTTTTGAGAGCCCTTAATTAGCGAACAGAATTATCTGAGAAGCTGAGAGCTCTGGAGACTTCCGCTAAAACCGGTAAAACAAATGCAGCCAACTTGATTGTTCTAGGGATATATATAGGGACTTGCAAATTTTGCATTGGAGTTAATGGACGCTTAAATCAAAATTTACTACCTAAGTGTCTGTAAACTAATTGCCTGGATTGGAGATCGAGGCTCTTACGCTAGACGCTTACTGCACTGGAGATGCATTAATAAATCAAGCAAGATTTGTTCAATATAACCTATATTGTCGATTTTAGTAAGCCCATTCTTGGTTCGGTAAACTTGTAGTACCTGAGGAACATGCCACATAAAGTCCCTCTGCAACTCCAGGGTAGTGAACCAATCCTATGGGTTGAGTAACCACATCCTGCAGGTGCAAAGAAAGAAAATCATACCATAAATTTTGGTTTGCAAGAATGGCCGGTACATACATTTTTGAAGCAAGATATCAGTTAGGATAGTGTAATTCACAGGCGTGAATGGGAAAGCACAGCACCTCATTGTGTTCAAGTATACCAGTTACTAATGCTCGATAGAATTTTGAAATTTTCCGTTCTTTGCCCACCTCAGTTCCATCCCTATAAATTAAATTAATCACTTAACCAATACTGGTGTGCTAACGATACTGATATACTCTTTCCAAATTTAAAAGAGAAGATTGTACACCTTTTCTTCTCTGCATTTGCAGCACCTTCTGCAAAATAAGATGCAAGTTGAACTTTGGCAAGCTTTGTCTTGGCACAAAGCAGTAGACCTAATAACATGGAACATGCAGGTCATCAGCAAGAGTTTCACTTTTACATATGGAAATGCAGCGGTAACAAACATTTTTCTGCGAGACACATTTTATAACCAAAAAATTAGTAGGAACATGAGGCTTCATTGCAGAAGGGCTCTTTGTTACAGGATGGTAAAAAAAAAGGGCTCCAGAAACAGCAAATATGTATTTCTCCTAGACTCCTGGTTTCATAGGCAAGGAACAAAATTCACATCTGCTAGGCCTCAACTGGTCAGAGTGAACTAAACAAAAAGCTACAAACCTGACGTGCCCCTTCCTAATCGATGAACAGGTACAGGATGTAACTGCACATTTTTTCTCTTAGAGCAGCTTGATGGGGGCATCTTCCACTCTTTCCACTGAAGCTGTGCTAGAACAGTGCGCTGCTGGAAGATTCCTTTTGGCAGAACTTGCAAACCGCAAGGCTTGTTAAGGGCGACCTGAAAAAAAAATGGTGAGCTAATTTATGGCTATGATTATATAGCTTTAAGTGTTACAACTAATTTTATTAAACATACATAGGGATAAGGAAGATTCATACTTGCTGAAAATCGGTACCAAGATTTGCAACTACCATAGCAATAACAGACAAACATTACAATGGGAAAAAAGCATTTGGCTCGCAAAAAATAGATGAAAAACAGATATGACTTGAACCTTGACAACAAGCTAGGCTGAACGACAGTTGGATAGAATGTGTTTATGTGCAATTTAGCAAGAATACCAGGTTGAAGTGCATACCATGTCGTCATCTTCATAAAGCACTTGAAGCAAATGTGGTGCAAATGGCTCCTTCCATGCGAGGCGATGATATACCAACTTAGAACCCACCCTGAAAAAGGGGATCCAAATGAAATACATATTAGTTTCGAAAGGTAGCTACTAACGTAAAGGAAACGATGAAGGAAAATAAGAACGATAACACCCTTGTTGCAAATGTGTACTGCAAACAGCATAAGAGGATACCTGAGAATCATATCTGGATCAGTGACAACTTGGCCATCAACC